AGGGGGGCGTGGCAGAGTCTTAACTTTGATAAAGAATATCTCTTTGGTTTTGAGACTTTAGTCTTTGCAACTTCAGAGATCTTATCTATGCACAATCTGCTTGTAACACTCCAAAGAGAAAGGAAAACTTGAAATCGCATCATATGACTCCTTTAAACCACTTATCAGTCTATGTCTAGACGCCACAAAAAAAAAGGAAATTACCTGAAATTTTCTTTCCTTACAATCTTTCTTACAAAACAAGGCAGAATATATGGTCTTGCTTATAGACTTCTAGTTTACTTGCCTCAATGACTGTATGCTGAAAAGGTTTAGTTTCTAAAATGCCAGACGACACTTTTTTTAATCTAGTTCTTCCTAATAAGTGTTAATTGAAGCAGTTTGTTACCTTGTAAACACTTTTACTGGCAAGGTAAAAAACTAAATAAAGTGGCCATTTCTTCAAGAGGCTTACCCTTTCACCAGCTCTACAGCGATGAAATCGCTTCCATCCCCACTGTTGAAGAGGATGAATCCATCTGGAGAGGTTGTCTTGAACTGGAAGAAAAGGTGCATGGATGTGTAAGCCTGCAAGGTCGCTAGACTCAGGTAACTGCTCTTTGACTTGAATGTCACGGGGTCTGCGATGATGGAGCGCATGCCAAAGCGAGCGTTGAGCTCACAGTAGTCGATATCGCCGTTCTTGCACAGGTCGATGTAGAGCATGCCATTGAACTTGAGGCTCTGCAGGTGACCGATGAAACTGGAGGGGATCATGGAGACGAAACGGCGCTCGGTCATCACGCCCGTCTCGATGTTGTGAAACTCTAACCGGGTGTGATCGCCCACCATCTGACCTACAAACCACAGCAGGTTGGAAAGGAAAACAAGAAAAAAGATGCTGCTATACTACACCCTCAAACAATATTACACTGCTGTACAGGCATAAAAATGCTATAATACCCTAAAACCCTGAGTCACACTCTCCAACTACTTGCTACACCGAGCGAGTTCTACAGTATGTCAGCGTAGCAATGAACCTGAACCAAAAATATGTATTTTATTGCTGTGAAACACTAAAGTAGTGTTGGAATGAGAACAACTGAAGAAATGTTATTCAAGACTATGACGCAGTTTGCCTACAAACTGGAAACTACTGTTTCCCACAATTTATCAAAATCCCTCAATCTGTATCTAAAGAATAGCTAGAACTAGTAACTCTCAAAACCTTTCACATATTTATTTCTGCAGTTTCTTGCAACAAAATTGCTTTATTAATACGCTTGAATCAGCTATAGCTTCTCACATAAAATAACCCATCAAGAATTGTGTTGTCTTTCATATTGAGGACCAAGGATAGTACCTTCTGCTATGTCATCGTCAACCATTAGCTTGTAGCTTTTGCCCCTCCGGATCACGCGCACAGTATGCCATTCATTATCATTGAGTTTTTGTCCAGCATACAGTGTTTCTGGTCCTTTGCCTGAGAACGACGGTCATGAAACGTTAATGGCAACCTGAATTGTCTCTGACCAAACCTTTGCTTTTAATGACAAAAAGTGAAAACTCTTTTTGTTGCTTTAAATTTGATGCTAACTATGTTATGGCAAATCAGGTTAAATTGTTTCTTTTCTAGTTGAGATGATTAACGCAAAAGAGAAAGCAGAGGTTTGGTGCAGATGTTTTTGAATATTACACAAAAACATAAGCTTTAACAAAAAACTAAAATTGTTAGCTAATTTGGTTTCCTCTGTTTTTCATAATAATCACTTTAAAACATAATCCTGAGATTATTAAATGGCTTTTACTCATAAAAGGTCTTGATACACCACTCGAGGACAAAGTTCTCACAGTTGGTTTGATAATGTTAATTATATTTGTAAATTATATATGCAAATTAACTTTGTATCCCAGTTGTGAGTATGAAAGTATAAGTTGGCAACACTGGCTTAACCAATAGCACGAGTTTGGGACAGGGCTATATGCTTGTCCAAACCAACGGCATATATGGGAAACTTGTATGAAAAAGTCGATCTTTTTGCAATTTCGTTTGGTAACACGAGTGATACAGAAATCAAATGCTTCACCTTTAAAGTCAGAATCGGAGTTAATTTACAAGCAAGCAATATATTCTTTATGATGCAATACATTTGAGGAGTTAAGTAGTCACAGAGAAGAGCAGAGAGGTGTTTTGGATTCAGCTCAGAGCGTGCTATAAAATCACACACCACATCCCTCAAAATCTCCTGGGAAATTGTGTTATGTACTTACCCAGCATGCAGTTATCGGTAGTTCCTGAGAAAGTATATTACCTTCCACCCTGACATTAATCAACACTTCAACACTGACATAAATATGTTTTTACCAACATGAAGCTCACAATCTGCCATCACTGACATTGTTCAGACAATGTATCATGCCTATTCCTACACCATGCCAAAAACAATACCTATAATGCACTGTATAATTGCTACTTGGATATGATTCTGGGAAACACTGTCCTTTTCATAATTTCAAAACATAATAACTAAGCAGAACAACTATTAAAGGCCATAGAAGCAATTATCGTATTTTGAAAGCACAAAAATGTCGGCTCGGGTTACCAGGGTTACACTAATGCACAAATCCAACAATATCAGACACTTTCTGACCAGATTCCACTGCTGTATGCAGGTAATAATCTTAGAGCTTTTAAAAATGCAGGTCTTGTAACAAGAGCTTAAGAACTAATAGGTCTGATAAGCACATCATTATAATTAGTGGCATTATATTAATCTGAGTGATGGAAAGTGTGAACTGGTGCAGGTAAAGGGATATGAGACTAATCTACTGTAGCATGATGTGAGTGTTTGCTACTTGATCAGAATGACTGATGGAGGCGTAGTTGTGAGTTACTGGTTTACTTGCAGGGCCAGGCTCTCTAGTACATCACCAAAACTCATCATTTGGCACCACAAACACTTTTTATAAAGTAACTTACTATACAGTCATTGTAAGGACAGTCACACAGAATCCAGCCTGCAACCTTTCTATTATCAGACCACTGTAAGGTTAGTATTTAAACAGTCATATTATAAACAACATACAAAACCGCTCTAGAACAATCAACTATTACATGCAGATATCAAGATCCATAAGACATGCAAGCCATTTAGACAAGCGTCATTATTCATACACATATATAGACATTCTTACCTTTCAAAGTGGGAAAATCATAGTTAGTTCATAGTTATTCAGAGTGGGTTTTATTTGTTTAAAAAAATGATATAAAATATTACTCTAACATTATATCACCTTTATAGTTTATATCAAAAAATTGTCATTGAGAGAATTCAAGACCTATTTTTGAGTAAAAGCAGTGTTTGTTTGTTTTTTTGTTTTTCCCTAAAACTGTGTTTCTTTACTAATGGTATAATAGTACAAAAAAGTTAAGTAACAACATATCATAGCTAAAATAAGTGTAGCATTAAACGAAGACATTTCTGTATTCCAAGAACTTCAGGTAACAACTGAACTGAATGTGCTTTTTTAGCATCATTTTTGTTTTAAGAGTTGTGTATTAAGCCATACATTAACAAGCTTAAATTTAATTGCAGTAGTTTGACTTAAAATACAGCCAACCCAGCAAACATATTAACCAACAAACAGAAACAACCCCATATTGCATCATATCATAAGAATATGCTAAAATTAGATGCCATAATAAAAATTTAACATTCGTGATTTTACGTTCTCTGTGTGCAAATGTATTACAATTTATTTTCAGGAAAAAAGTTGATATGTGGTGACTTTATAATGTGACTTTAAAAGCTGTACAAACTGTAGTTATTGCAACATGAAAAGATGGCAAACTTGTCTTTAAATACAATAATTAAACATATAACACGTATTTCTGCATGCACAATAATATCTCATTTTAATGCATGCACTACTTTAAACTCAAATACTGCATTCCTTACTAAAGACAGTAAAAACAAAGTAGTTTAGAAGATACCATCATCTTTTAGGTACAAATTAAGACCTTTCTATAAAAGGGTAATGGGAAATAGATTGACATGACAGCTAAATAACAGGCCATCAAAAACAAGCCATGATTATTAAGTCACCACCATTTATAATTGTGGTAATCGTGATTGGAGAGATGCATCAACTGACCCTTTCACTAGACGCAAACTCTCCTTGACTAATCGGAGGAAAAGGTACAAGACTTAAGACATTCGTTTCAACAAGAGTATCATTAGGAGCAAAATAAAACTTGAGTGTTAACTTACTGGAGTTACAGTTTATCCTGATACAGTCTAGATGGGGGAAAATAAGTGACAGATGAAATTGCATCCTTCAAGGTTACAGCTGCAGACATCCAAAAACAATAATTCCACCCTTCCGGGGACGTCCACATGCAAAGAGGCGGCCATTTTTTATTATTATTAATGAAAGAATTATAATTTAATGAAAAGACAAAATCACTGGATTAGCGGCAATTGTCAGAGATAATGTCTATGAATAAATTACTTTAATGATTATTTTGCTGCTAAATAGATTTTAAACATCAGAAAACAGATAATTGCCTTATAAGCAATGTTTATTTTGTAAAATTATAAAATGGCCACTTGGAGCTCACCAACCACAAAGACTATTCAACCCAGAGCTTTATTTTATTTTATTAAAATTATGCTTTTAATTCTCAGACCTATCTGAGGTCCTGCCCCATAGAAATTACACCAACTCATTAGCTAAATATGCTTTAATAGCTTCAATACATTTAGCAAGAAGTTGGTGTTAGGGCATTTTTCTTGAATATTGATCTGCAAAATAACGATTTCAAGCCTTCTCATTTTGATGGCATCATGCTCTGGGTTGGGCTCTGTGTGGCTGGATTTACCATGTGTCGTCAACCGCAACAGAAAAGTGGGAGCAAACAGCCTCGATCCAATAAGCACCAGCACCATGCAGTGGCCTCTGTACCTCCAGCTAGATCTTCCTGAGATCTGACCACTCAAATGAGTACTTAATATACTGCAATCTCTAACATATTAATAATTGTGGTGGTCTTGGTTGTAAAAGTATAGTTGTAGAGGTCTGCATTGTACTAAAAGTAAAATAACCTTTTATTTTGGAAGCTAGGGCAGTCCTGAGCGTAAATCTAATGATATACATATGTATTCGGTTGTGTTCCATGGCTGGCAGGCTGTCAAATCATTCCAGATGAATTCTCGGTGTATGCAGTCATAAGACATTCTTGTCTCTTTCAGTATGTTTACAGTGTGTGGGCTATGTTTGTCTCTACTATGTTTGAGCTGTCACAGATAATCAGTCCTATTGTCAAACCTAAGGCTGTTTCCTGCAGTGAGGTGTGAGTTATGTCACTTCCTTTAATGATGACCCAGTGACTTAATGACCAGTTAGGGTCTCTCATCTCACATCTAATGGTGTCGGGTTGAGGACTGAGAGGTGCTACCAGCTGCAGGTGAAGCTGAGAGCTCTGTTCTCGGGCTGTTTGCCGACCGGGCCGCAGGCTAAGGGCCTTTGAAGGGGTGAATACCATCTTTTGACAAAGCATGGAGAATGTGTGTCAGAGAACGGGAGAGGGAGGGATAGGTGATGGTGGTTAAAAGGAAGTGATGTAACAGAAAGGAAATACCAACCAAAGCACAAATGTGGTACAAATGGAACCAACTGAGACAGAACATGAGGTTTGTCAGAAAAGAGTTACTGAAGACATTGTCAAGTAGAAAAGATGGCAGGAATTAGTGTAAAGTTGACGATCAGAAAGTCACAACACTTGGAAAGGTTTTACAATCATAAAAAAGAATTACCCATCATTTCAAAAGTTGACATTAAAAAAAAAAAAATGCTATGCTGTTATGCAGTGCTGTGACTGTCTCAAAGGAGTTTTTGTCTTCATTATGACAATGATCATGGTTAATATATTACAAAAAATGCACCAAACATTGTGTCCGTTAGGTTTGGGCAGTATGGTGGTACTATTTATGCGTCAAAAAAAAATTTAATTTTGCAATAACTTTGCACCACAATAGACACATCCGCAATTAAATAAATGTTTCAAGACTGCTGTATGTTATTTACAGTTGAGAGAAATTGAGAAATTTGCAAAGCGAAAATATAGAGCAGGACGTGTCCCAAAAAATGCAAAATAACATAAAATTGTACAGATTAGTTGTTTATGGCTAAATCAATAAAGAATTCAAATGATGTGCGATTATAGTGCGACCATGACCAGGCTTATTTGATCAGAATTTAAAGTTTAAACTATATGTGATATATATATATATATATATATATATTACATGTTTTTACCTGAAATCTCATGCAGCTAATGCCGGACTCCTTTGGTTGTTATGAATAAACTTTTGATTTGCATCCATAAAGTTCAGAATAAAATTTTCCTTATATATAACTATGTTGTATATATTATATTACTTGTACAGTGATACCACCCATCCCTAACATCAATTAGTAGACAAAATTTGAATTTACTGTCAATTACTTTATTAAGAAAACAATCAATTCAAACTGAACTCAATCAAATGTCTGGTGAACCAAGCAAATAAAGAAAACCAACAAAACAACATCTTAATATATCTTATTAATGAATGTAATGATGATGGAGGCAGAGGAGGGTGGGGCTGGAATGATGGACAGATAGGAATAGAGAGAAAAAGAAGAAGCACTGCATCCTGAAGGAGGGGGTTTTATACAATACCTAAGTTGACCGTGAGTTTGACGCGACTGCCATCCAGCTCTAGCCGAAGAGTATCGGCGGAGTCACGTGAGGTGGTGGCCATGAGCAGGCCGTATGCCCGCTGAGACATGAAGCGAAGGGACACGTCCTCCGCTTCAGTGTGCATCACGGTAGGCATCACCACTTTCATATACATGCTCCCGTCATAGCTCAAGATGGATGCCTCTGTGGACAAAAGAACACAAGATCTGTTTCAGACAAGTTAGAAGTAAACAAAAACTTTGCTTCTGGGAGAAAAAAATGCTCTTAAAAATGTCCTGAAGTTTTTTTGGAGTTGACAATATATTACAATATTAAAATAATGCATGGTCAAGGTGATGGCCTCCAAATATTCAAGTCATCTTCCTGAGGAAATGCATGACTAAAACAAAGCACACTGAGTTAACACAATCTGCACAAGCCTCCTACAAGTTTCTATTAACTGACTCAACAGGTAAATGAACAGATCTCTCCTGCCATGGGAAATGTTGAAGACATCTGCACTTTTCAGCAAGCTGCCACACAGATGGCCAATCAGGCACACCGCTAGGATGGGACTGATGGATACCAGCAATGCCCTTTCTCCACATCCTCAGCCTCTGACTGTCATTCACGCTCCATATGAAAGTATTAGAAAAGCCAGCCACGCATAAAATGTCTGCTTTGACTCCACAGCATGTAGACGTCCAGGTGAAAGAAAGGCAGGAATCACAGCATGTCTGGGCCGGGATTTAATAGAAGAAATTAAAGAGGCCACATAAAATCTTACTTCAGGCCCTTCTGGATAAACATATGTGAAAAACCCTGTGCAGAACAAGATGATATTAAGCTTCAATTAAAATATTCTGAACTTAATCTGGACAAATTTAAAGGGGATTTTCTCAGTATTTAGATTTTTTTGCACCCTCTGATTCTAATAGAAAATAGTTGTATCTCGGCCAAATATTGTCCTATCCTAACAAACCATAGAACAAAAATGTATCATGTTTCCACATAAATATTAAGCAGAACATCTGCTTTCAACATTGATGATAATAAATGGTTCTTGAGCACCAAATCAGCATATTAGAGTGATTTCTGAAGGATCGTGTGACTAAAGACTGGAGAGAAAATTCAGTATGCTGAAAATTCAACTTTGCCATCACAGGAATCAATTACATTTTAAAATATATTCAAAAAGAAAACAGTTATTTCAAATTGTATACTAATATTTCATGATATAACTGTTTTTACTGTATTTTTTGATAAAGTAAATGCTTCCTTGGTGAGTATAAGAGGCAACTTTTTACAAAAACATTTTAAATGATAAATGTAAAAAATATAATGAATAATAATAAAAAATATGAAATTGCAGACATTCATATACAGACAGGACCTGAAAGGGGTCTGAATTAAAAACTCCATCCTCAACATATGCATCCGAAATATCGATGCATAGAAACAGCTGACAAACTCTACAATTACACAGCGATCAATATGTTATTATGTGCGATTAGTTGCTTTTCAATCCTCCCTGGGGCCCCCACCAATTTTAATTTTACACCCAGCATACTAAGTAGAGAGTGGAAAAGAGAAATTGAGGTCGTGCTGCCATCAGTGAAGACAGCGAGAAGAGAAACAGATAAGTGGGACTAACCTCTGACGATTAACTCGGAGTGAAAGCAAATCAAAATGATTTTGTATCAACGTTATTGAGCAGCGAGCTGATGCGCAGGTAGACAGAAACATGCCGTGGAGGATCTGATGAGAGTGACGGGGAAATGAGGCATCAGAGATCTTCACAGGGTGGCAGTGTTTCTCAATAAGGGGCCGGTGTTACACAACAGCATCCGGCAGCCATCTTGAGAGACTCACTTATGAAATTCGATACACTGCTGTTTCCTCACAAAGTATCTCATAAATCCGTCTCAGGACACGTGAGGGCACTCATTCACTGTATTTTGCCTGTAAAACGTGGCCGTCTTTCTCTCTTTTAGATTTGTAAGCTGGGGTAATTAATGCAGATCATGTGGCTGTATAAAAATGCAGTGCACATCTGACATTTCGGTATAGTAATTAAGCCCTGCTTTTGTTTTCCTATGTAAATAATGAACACAGAACTTATTCAATCACATGCCCGAATGAAACACGGTTCATGAAAGTCAAATGAGCTGCAAAAAGCATTACTCATGGGAGAGGCTAATTCAATAAATAAAGGGCTGCAACTGACATTCCATTTGACTAATTGATGACTGAATAGATGGAATGTTTAATCAGAATTGTTTTTGTTTTTTGTTATTTTCCATACTGCATCTGAACGTTTGGATATGTATTATCTTTCACAAACAGATATTTCATGCATTTATGCATTTGAGCACTCATGCACATTCAAGGGTATATGCAAGTCAGATTTCAAGCAGTGTCCTGCAGTGTGACATGCTATACTCCAGCAGAAAACATTTTTGTAATTATTTTATGTTTATTATGGATGCTGTTTTTACTTCATATTTTTTGAGAGGCAAAAATCACTTGTCACACTGCAGGACTATTTACTGTAAGTGTAACTGGAGGGGGGGGGAAATGTAAAATATACAGTTACTGATCCCAAACTTTTGAGCAGTAGTGTGTGTGTGTGTGTGTGTGTGTGTATATATATATATATATAAAATAAAAAATGTATTACACAAAAATAATTTCTAAATATACATAAACGTCTACTATAAGGACCAAAAAGACACTTGCCAAACATAATAAATTAATGAATTTATAAAAATCCAAATTTTGACATTTCTATTATTTTCTATTTCTGTCAACTCTTGAAAAATATATATTTTTTTTTACAAAAATATTTTATAGAACTGGTACATATTTTCAATAAAAATAATAGACCCTGTGTGAATGCATTTGTTTCAGTACATTTATGTATTTGTTTATTTCAAGTTACAGGCCTTGCTTGAGGCACCCATAATACATTTGTGTCATAACATTTCAATTAACCTGGATGGCTAGCACTCTGGAATACAAATGTATTGATTTAGCTTCTAATATTGAGTGAGCGCAGGCTGCTTAATTAAGGTGTATCTGTGATATGATCTATCATCATCATCTGTGCGGCACAGAGGGATCAGACTGACCTGTACTGAGCTCTGTCTCAATGACATAATGAGAGAAACATCAGGCATAAAAGGCAATCAATGTTCATTAAATTGTCAGTCTTTCTGCTGCTCATCGGCAGACAACAAACTCTAACCTGAAGATGACAAGGACATTAATGCAGGCAGCAATTCAACCTTCAGTCTCTCCTATGAGACAGACGTGCAGAGACCATTTGGTAAGCAGTGCCTCAAAACAGAGCAGCTGTTGCCATTGTCTTTAGCTGTCCGGTTAGACTCTTAACCTTTATCAGCTCCTGTGGTGCCACATGCTGGAAATTAAGATGGAAAGAGAGAGATTTTTATTACGTCTACTGTTGCAGTGAAGCGTCCAACTGCCCAGTTTAGATTTTAGATAATTCCTGATGACATTTGGAGAAATTTAGCATTACATCACTTCCTCACCAATGGATCTCTGCAATGAATGGGTGCCGTCAGAATGAGTTCAAACAGTTGATAAAATACCACAATAATCAACAAGTAATGTTTGTAAGCTACATGTTTGTAAGAAACAAATCCATCATTAAGACGCTCTTAACTTCAAACCATTGCTTTTGGCTAAAATACAAGTCCTCTATCCAAGTTGTCTCATCTGACAAGAGAAATATGCACAGATCAAGCACCGTTTACTAGCGTAAACAGTCCAACACAGTTCTAAACAAATATGTCCGTGGATTTTGATGTGAGAAGACAATGGGGAGAGACTTTTTCACTGGAGGAAGCATTATTATGAATCATATTTTTGAATCATAGACTCATATTTTAGCCAGAAGCAACAATAATTGAGTAATAATTGACAGGAGTCTTGTGGATTACTTGTGGATTATTGTGATGTTTTTATCAGCTGTTTGGACTCTCATTCTGACCGCACCCATTCACTGCAGAGGATCCATTGATTTGCAAGTGATGTGATGCTAAATTTCTCCAAATCTGTTCCGATGAAGAAACAAACTCATCTACATCTTGGATGACCTGAGGGTGAGTAAATTTTCAGCAAATTTTCATTTTGGGCAAACTATTCCTTTAATCAATGTTAACTAATATTCAGAATAATAAAGTGTTAAAACAAATCTGTTTTGGTAGTACATAAGACAAAAAAAAAAGTTTAAGAATCACTGATCAATACAGAAGCTCTATGGGAAACCATTTCTCAATATGCGTTCTTGTCTGTACTTGTGTTCTTATGGACTTGTGAAACGTTATCAGTTCCAATTCAAAGTTCACATCTAGCCAAGTACACTTCGGATGTGTCCTTGCTACGCCCCTTTTATCAAGGATGCACCAAGAGGTGACTTGTGCGAACTTGAGGAAGCCGGGTATCCCAGAATGCATTTCGCACCAACCAGCGAGCATTAATGGCGGAGAAAAAAACCCACGTAATTTTCAAAATATTATTGTTATTGTGTCATGAAATGTAGTTTTAAGAGTTTTTCAGGCGAGAATGTAGTTGTTTAAAACTTAAATGTGGTTTATTTATAAAGATAGCGCCAATTTGAAAATTTGCTTAGCTGAGTTTGGAGATGCGAGCTCCAGACAATTACCGGGTGCTCAGTGCTCATGTATCCCACCAAGAGCAGCCTTACCTCGGCTAGTCTTTCTGACACTGGCAGATGCCTCTGATGTCTCTGTAGTGGTTAAACATGAGAAATAATTATTTTGGGGTATATCTAACAGGCAATCTTTGGTCCCATTTATCTATTATTTTATTATTAATTAAATTATACATACAGTGAAGTTAATCAGAGTATATTTGCACATATTGCCTGAACCACATATTTATGTTTTATATTTTTAAAATGAAAACGAAAAGAGGGTTGTGTTTTATATTTTGTTTTATTAAGTATACATACAGAGAAGGTAATCAAAGTATGTACGCGTTGCCTGAGATATATTTTTTGTGGCTATTAATATGTTGAAATGAAAACGAAAAGAGGCAGTGGTGTATGATATCATATTTCGTTTTATTGTAAATATACATACAGTGAGGGTAACCGGAGTAGCCAAGGCGAGCTGAGTGACGTTATCAAGTGCGCTTACAATATACTCACTATAATG